TAACCTAGTCTCCTACCACTCGCGTTAGAANAAGAAGGCGTGCGGGACAGTGGCATGGCTGGGAGAGAGCGTACCACGAGTCTGGCTTCGCCGGCACCCTTCCAAGTGATCGGCCGGGCTCAGATACTAGGGCATTCGATTCTTCTGTCCTTTGTGGATGGCGCTCCGGAGCCACCAATGCCGTATCACCCCCATTGCCCTCTCAACCCGTAACCTAGTCTCCTACCACTCGCGTTAGAATGAGATAAAATATGTTAACGTTAAACTTGGCGATAGGACATCTGTGAGTCCGTACGGGTAAGTACCACCACCCTGGCTATTTCTGCTGTGAAGCAGTAATGCGTTCCGGTTTGAAGCGTGGGGCAGCCGTTGTAATTGTACTGAGACATTAGAACTCATATCTCAAGGTGGGTGGCGGCATTTGCGTTGTAGTTGTCTATGGACTTCGCCACTTAACATCAGGTGGGCTCGTCCACCAATCAATGCAATAAATAAATAAATAAACAGAACCATTTATATTAGTTTGTACGATAGAGCACATAAAATAATTAGGAACTCGAATCGTTCATCATAAAATAAGCCGACTGCTTAACTTGGTGATCATTACGACATCGCTGTCTGGCCGGAGAGCTAAATAAACAAATGCGAAACATGAAACATGATCGTGCCGTACACATTATTATAATTAATAACGTTCATTAATAACGAATTATAATATAATGTAATTTATTCATTATAGTTATTTGATGAGCGCTGGAAAGTAGCGTGCGCGCCATCTCTGATTTATTCTAACGGGTTAGTCAGGTCGAGCTTAGTGACGAATCACACGTGGATCAAAGCGACTATCTCGTGCGCTACCTGAAGATCACGAGTCGTGGTCACGTAAGACCGGGTACTGTATGAAGTGGCCTCCGATGGTCATGGCCCTCAAAACACGACGGAAACTTCATCTTTTTCTCCCACTTATTCCACTAGGTGGGGTCGTGACAGCGAATGTTTCTATTCCATTCTCTTCTATCAGCCGTCATCTCAACACTCACTCCTCTCTCTCTCATATCGCCATTGACACACTCCATCCATGTCTTCTTCGGTCGACCTCTTCCCCCTCTATTTTGCACTACCATTTCCATATTACATACATGCGGGATTTCGTGATTTAAGTTTTTAATTTTATTGCTTAGATCGGTGGACGTGCTCGTAGATATCAACAGCGTAAATACCTCCAACTCACACCGGCCGCCCAATCCTTGAAAACGCTTAAAAGAAATTTTGTTTCATTACCACTGGATACCACCACACCACCACATATACCACCCACCTGATGAGTGGCTACTACCGTTCCTCATGGACGTTAGCAATTCCAGGGGCAGAGCCAAGCCGCTACGTACCGTTTAATACTCTCAACAAGCCTCGTTTAAAGAAGGACATGTCATAGCGCTCGGGAAACACCATGGAGGGGAAACGCACTGTGGATGAACGCAGTGGCTCCAGGTAGTATAGAGGAACTCTACTCCGGTGGCGGGCGGTGCGATGGTAAAAACAAGCACATACACCGGTCTTTTTGTCTACCCAGCCCTAATCAATCATTTTCATAAGATATCTAGGCAATTTTCTTACTTTAAGCTTTAAAATAGATATGTTTTATAAATTTAAAATCCTCTTAATTGTAACGAGGCCAAGAGGCCCGCAATTTTATATTACTAAATTCCTATTCTAGAATTCCTATTCTATTTTGACGCCCCTGCTTTAGGCCACGATGAGCTTTTTTGATTTTTTGTATATTAATTTCAACAAATGCTAGGATAAATAACGATTTGTTCAAGCTCATAGTGATAGGTCAATAAGTGTTTCGGTCAATTGCCGCAACGGACTGGCAAGATCAATCCAGAACCCAGCAGGTTAGAGACGCAAGATAAAACTATTTAAACATTCCAATATTCAGTGCTTACAATTTTACATATCAACATTATGTTTTTTTTTAAGAGATTTTATGACCTGGTCACTGACACCTTTAAGTCATGTCTTATTTTAATTTATATTATTCACATTTTTATGAAAAATGATATTATGGAGTGAAATGAAATGAAGATGATTAATTTGAGGCACTAATCAACTGGGATGAAACTAAATAAAATCAATGATATTTATGAAATGAATTGAGATGATATGGGATGAAATATCTTAGTAAGAAATCTTAGTAAAATGGTGGTGGTCATTTACTAAGATTTTTTCAGTGGACTTTTTGGAGGATCCCGAGAAGTTACGTCCAGCGGCTTTGTTTCATTTTCCCACATTTGTGCACTTTCACAAATATTAAACAGTTAATAAACCACCATTATTACATATTTAAACCCGAAGAAACACTGAATAGACAAAATAAAACAAATCACACAACTTCATCCTCGCGTTCCCGCCAAAAAGTCCTCAACATTATGTAAATAAGAAAGGATATACAAAAATTTAAGAGAATTGCAGCTTGGGATAATTTCGTCATAGTGCCATCCCCGAACGAGAGATGGCGCTAATACACTTTCAACAAGCTTGTGCTGTTGGTATATTTACGCATAGTCACCGTGAAAAGACGCCCAATTCAACTTGTCATGTTAGATAGCGAAATAAGGCCCGCAAGAATTATGAAACTTCGTAATTGCTGACAGTAGGACAAACAGTTTCTCCACGTGAGCATCCATACCGTTTTCTTTTGCCGCATCAACTTATTTACGCTGGTAAACTTTGCAATACATTTTTGGCCGCTTATAAAAACTGTTCGCCGCTTAAAGTCAATCGAGCCTCCCGTTAACCTGCTCTCTTTAAATCCTATCTATTGTTCTAGAAGAGTATTTAAAAAAAAAAAAACTTGAGAGTTCTTTCACGAACCACTCAGCGGTAGATCGTTGAACATTTGAATATCCTTTTTACAGAGACTACAACATCGCGCTAGGATGTAACTAATATAAACACAGATTTAAATGAAAAAACAAATTGGCGTTGGATCCATTTTTCGAATCGAAAAAAAAAACGACTTCAAGCCGAAAGGTTGAAACTGACTTTTACGAATAAACAAAAATAAACTTTACCAACTTGAATTTAAATGTTAATTTCTTTTAAATAAATTATCGTACGTCTGACCTTAGGGTCTTGGCTTTTTTAATATCAAGGCTACAAACATCAGTCTGTAAAATAACGTCGAACTTGTTCTAATGTGTCTTTAAATATAAAATGTCATTATTTAATTTATCGCCTAAAGGTCTTAGGTCTTAATAGACGCGGAAAATTTTATTCATTTAATGTTGTAACTAAGGTGAAATTATTTGGACTATACATCAAGGTAATAAAAATGCTAATTTCGCCTACGCATTTTGAGTTTTCAATACGAATTAACGTATGCTTTACGGGATGCAAACTGTCTCTTCAAGCATTGGTCACGATGTAGGGTTTGATGAGCGAACTAATCAACAGAGTTTCTCGCCGGATCTTCTCTGGGGGTCGCGATTTCGATGCGATGGTAGACATAGCGAAGCTCTCCTCTTGCTAGGACTATTGTTAGCAAATTCTCTCAGGTTGAGCCGCGTGAGCTCACCAACCCGTCACACGATACTGGAATAGCCTCTTAGGCTACCAGCGAATAGGTAGGAAAAAAGGAAAAAAAGCGATGCAAAATGGATGCAAAATGGTTGCTTCTCGTCTCGTTTCAAAACGCTTTCGACGGAACAATATTTACGAAACGTGTCCTTAGCGTTTTTTAACATTACCACGAAAACGATAAAGCATGCGAAGCTTCGACAACTGCGAGTCGAACATGACCGTGCAGTTCACACTTTAAGCCGTCGTTCCGGTAATTGAGTGCTAATTAAAAAGCTTGTTGCAGCTTTTAATTAAAGCTCTATTATTGATTGACCTTTCAGATGTATTTACCAGATGTCGAAGGTCGGTTTTATGATGATTAACGCAAAGGTCGTTTTGTCATCAAACAAGGTTTCTTTGGTGTCTAGTTCCCTGAGAGAATGAATTGCATGGTGATATTGAAAGATTTTTTTTTTCTTTCTTTTCTATGTTAAGAGATAACGGGGACCATAGTCACATTAATAGAAGCGTCGGTCTTCATGAGGTCAAACACAATGCAAACGGAATTGCGGCCGAAATAGAAACAAAATGGTTATAGCCAGCAATCTTGAAACATAGACGAATGAAGCGGTAGCTTCCGTTAATGTCACTGTTAATGCTCTAATAACGATTGTCACGAGTTTCATATATACAATTTTGTAAGCTTCGGGGAGATAATAATTGGTTACGTAGAAAATGAGTTTGTTCCAAAGGCCCTTCTCAGGACCTTGATATATCTTGAACCAGAATTGATTTTAGCATTCAAGGAATAGGCACAACGCGTTTTTGCTCGCAACGCTTTGGGGTATTCGCCAGCTTGAGACACAATTAAAACTGCTGTGGGGGTTAGCCATACCGCGTCATACAACACAAGATATTTGACTGACAGATGCCTGAATCTCGCTTACGACATTTTCAAGATAAGCTTGCATATATACAAGTTCCGAACAATGACATTCGTTGAAACCGTCGCTTGGCGAAGGGCTCGGCGAGTAAATTAGCCCACAGACAATTTCAATTCACGCAAACAATAAAATATTCAATTTTATTGGTGGTAGCACATATTGTAAGTCCGCACGGGTAGGTACCACCGCCCTGCCTATTTCTGCCGTCAAGCAGTAATGCGTTTCGGTTTGAAGAACGGGGCATCCGTTATAACTATACCTTAGAAGTCTTATTTCAAGGTAGGTGACGGCATTTATGTTGTAGATGTCTATGGGCTCCGGTATCCACTTAACACCAGGCGGACCGTGAGCTTGTCCACCCAACTACGCTATAAAAAAAGAGTCTAAAATAGTGGTAATAAAAAAACGGACGTTTTAATTATGTGTATACGACTATACAAAAGGTGGAGTGATTACGAAATGATTTTGAAATTGGCTCTGACTGGGACTGACCTGCGTGTTGGCTTGGAGTAACGCCGCTCCGTTGGCACTGACAATGCCGTTGTTGCACTGGGTGCGCGGGACGCACACGTAGCCCTGCCCGGCGCAGGTCTGCTGTATCTCCCCTCCATTATCCGGAGTTATAACGTTCCCAGTACTCTGGAATGCTTCGTCGACGCTCTGGGCGTTCTGTTCGTATTCGTATCCACCGCCCTTCTGCGCGTTCTGGATGAGGTTCACGTTGGACCCGGGCGTGGAAGCGGAGAACGGTCTGGGCGAGGACCCAGTGTAGCCGAAGCCATTTTGAGCGCTGCCGGCAAAGGCGTTTTGGGCAAAACCTTGGCCAATTTGGCCGCCGCCGATGCCCTGAGCGCCGGCGACGCCTTGCCCACCTCCGATTCCTCCTTGACCCAACCTAACTCCTCCATTTAAAAACGGGTTGCCGGACACATCAAGTCCCCCTGAGCTGCTGTAAGTGGAGGAAGACTCAAATGCCGAAGACTGGAAGTTGTTGGTCGGTTGTCCAACAGCACCGGCGCCAGCGAAGCCAGCACCCAACTTGGAGAAGTCACCGTTCAGGAACGGGTTTCCGGCCAGATCGATTCCACCACCCGTGGCGCTGGTGTAGCTCGAACTCGCTTTGCTGAACTTCTCGAAGCCTCCGGTGTTCTTGAAGGGGGAGTTTTGATTCATCCACCAGAAGGGACCGTTGTCGGGTATTTTTCCCTCGATGAGTTTCCCGAACGTCCCGGCTTGGTGGAAAGTGAATTCCTTGGATTTGTCTAGAGCGGCCGCATTCTTGAACGACTCAACGTCCCCGAATTTCTCGACGACTTTTCCGTCCTTCAGCTTAATACCAGCGCAGCCTTTCTCCGTGGAGCAGCCTTCGAAAGACTGCTGTGTGTGGACTTCACCAGGCAGGTTCTTGATGGCAGCCAGAACGTCTGTAGGGGAGCTGAGCTTGAGGTTTTGCGTACATGTGGTGCAACGTTCTATCCTCGCTTGAGGTTCGCTTTCTTCGGCCTCAAGTACTGGCTCATTGGCTTGGGGCAGATCCTTGACATCTTCAATGTTCTCGGGGTGGGCTTTGATTGCCAGTATCAAGCAGGTCACCACTATATAAAATAGTGGCTTCATTTTTCTGTAACAAAAAAGAAGTAGGTTAGAGATATGGTGTTAATCTAAACTCTTTTCTCCTCATTATAGGGGAAATACGGAAAAACCTTTCATGGTGGAATTCATTGGCAATATTCCAGTTTCATAAGACCAGTGACCGCGTTGATGTTTATATCAAATTTTTTTTGTCCTAATTTATTATCCAAACTGCTTTTTTCTCGATTACTGTTTGTTCTCGTGTTTATAGGTTTGATTTTACAGTTTCCGACAAAATGTTATATAGTTTTAATCATCACGCAATTTGTGACGCGTTTGTAATATGGGCTGTGATGACCACTTAACTCCCGTTAGACAGGCAGCTCAATTACGCGTTGTTGCAAAAAAAAAAAATGTTAGAAAATACATAGAAAATATGGTGACAAAATCGTTTTCTAGTATTCAAATTAAGGTGTAGTTTGGCAAATTATTTAAACTAACTTCACGTTTAGAACTGATAGATCAGAACGAGAGGGAAAATAACATCATAACTCCAAAAGAAATAAATACTGTATTTTCCATTAAATTGGTTTGTGTGTACATTCGTTGAACAGCCACATCCCTAGAATTGTTGAGAATATTCCACAAAAGTCGAGTATTGTGTGTTTCCGCTATCTGACAATAGATGGCATTGTACTTCTCGAGCGTTCTAGATGCTACTAGATCCTTCGATATTCATTCGGCTATTCGGCGATAGATGGCATTACTCTTATCGGTGTAACAATAATATTATGTAAATATTAATACCCACACAGGCCTAATGGACAATAAAAAAAATATTTAAATTTTGAATTTTATGTTATATTTATTTAATACTACTACCTACATAATATAGTTGAATGTTTATTTTACTAATAACATCTTAGTAGACCGTACAATGTTCAAATAGAATTACCCTAAAATTTGTAATTCAAATCATACGCGTTTTAGAATTGTTTGCGCGCCAACTGGATTCCGTCTAATTTGGACGTGTGTTCTGACATGGCAACACAAATTCGCGTCTCAAACGAGGCATCTATGGACTTATTTTAACAAAAAAATACAAACTATAAATACGTAATGAAAGATATATCTTACGATGTTTTAGTTAAGAGTATCAATTGAAACTTATCAGGGTAAATGAGCTGACAGCTCATCTTGCATTACCAAAGTTTGCGACGTGAAATGACCTTTAAACGCAAGCAAACCTAGACGCTAAAATTTATCAAAGCTCACAACTACAGGCTAAACAACTGACCCAAGTAACACGGACATCACTGCTATAAAACAACATGATTCTATTCGCATTTAATAGAGCAGTTTTGGTGTTTTAAAGACGTAGTTTGATAGCTCCGTGGGCGATCAATGATGATCAATTTGGAACATGTTCGCTGAGAACACGACCCGCATAGCAAACGCTAGACAGGACTGGCCTTGATCTTTGCCGAGGATTTTTTTGTCTTATTCAATTCGCTTCAAATATATTTGCACGTTTACATTTGTTTTTCGTTCGCAGCTCATACACTTAAAACGTCTCGTTTTGTTAAGAATGGAGCAGCGTGCTTAGTGCCTGTTTTTTAACGTTCTCGATAGCGTAAAAGTTAACTCAAATTTGTATGTGGTTGGAATAGCGGCCCTAGCGGCAGAAGTAGGCAACCGTTCCGACTCCATACAAATTCGAGTTAACTTTTACTCTATCGAGAACGTTAAAAAGCTCTCACTAAGCACACTGAACGGTTTTTGGACATTGTCAATATCTTTGTTAAGCATTTGACTGGTTCGGGGCCTTTTCTTTCCCCATATGAGACAATTCTTGAGACGCCTAATATATAAGCTATAAGCATTTGAGTCAGTACAGAAAAGGGGCGTTCGAATTGTCGATAATTCTGTTCTTACAGATCGTTAAGAAACCCTTACTCAACTAACGATCTAGGAATCTTTTATATTTTTATTGGTTTAAGGCGGGAGAGCTCACAGCCCACCTAGAGATTAATGCGACAACATTAATACCGTCACCGATCTTGAGACACTGCTTCTAAATCTCAATTCTATAGGACAAAGCCCGCCCCATCTTTCAAACTGCAAGAGATTACTGCTTCACGGTAGAAATAGACAGCGGCACCTACTTCTCCAAGCTCATGAAACGCCCTACCACAAATAACCTTCACTTTGCTCTGTGTTGTACGTCGCATGTTCCAAGGAGGTGTGCTCCCACGATCTTTACTTATTGCACCAAAAATCACTGGACAAGAACGACTCAATCATTCACGGTCCGATCTCAGACAATTATCTTCACGAAAGCTCTTGATTGTCAATACATTTTCATCTTCAAACGAGCCTCAAAATATTCCTATTGGCTACGTCGTCACTCTTACAGCGATCATCCGTCAAATTTTAATGCATTAAAAAAAATAAAGTTACTCCATCCAAACACAGCAGAGTAGAAACTGTGAGAATTGCTCAGATATCCACAACGCATCACGCAGTCGAAGGTTGAACTAACAAACACTTAACATACCTATTGGGAAATCAATATACCAAATGTTTCTGTTTTGTAATATTGAGTTGTTTTTTTTTATCTCGTATTGGATCAAAGAAAATTCTTAGGTCACCGATCTAAGTTGAATCGATAAGAACTGAGCTGTAAACGCCTAGACATAAGAGGCATAATCGATCGATTTTAAACACACAAATTCAACATTTCTAAGGATATTTCTTTTTAATGTATTTATTTGTTCACCCACTTTGTCGTATTTAAATAATAGCTCGGATAGGTTTCTAGAATTTATTAAACTTTACTATATCGAGACACAAACAATCGGTAGAAATGGTGCTGCAGCAATGGAGGGAAAATGTAATGACACAGACTATACCGATAAAAAATATAGATTATACAAATTCAGCAGTTATTATGCTCGTTCATATCATTGTGCGATGTGTCAGCGTTATAAGTATTAAATATTTTAATTAAACCAGTCCTACATATCGTGGACGCGTCGTAAGCGCTTAAATAGAGCCTGAGATAAATCTTAAAAGATAAATAGACCGACTTCAACAGAATAAAACGAGAATATTATCAGCGTAGTCGAAAATAATTGCATTATTAAGGATAGCACAAAAATTACCGGTCACATCTTGATAAAATTTAAATAGGGTCGCATTAATAGCACCAACTTTCACGTAAAAAATCGGAAAACGTTAAAGATACATTAAAAAGTTTTTAGGTAACACACAAAATATGCAATCCAATTTATAATTTTCTGTTTTTTGAACTCTTTTTTTTTATTGCATAGATGGTCAAGCTTAGGCAGCGGCTTGGCTCTGCCCCTGGCATTGCTGACGTCCATGAGCGACGGTGACCACTTACCATCAGGTGGGCCGTATGCTCGTCTGCCTACAAAGGCAATAAAAAAAAAAAAAAAAGTCATAGCCCACCTGATGTTAAATGGTTACCAGAGCCCATGGAGGCAAATGCCGCCACCCACCTTGAGATTTAAGTTCTAAGGTCTCAGTATACTTATAATGGTCAGTTATAGTCGTCTAAAATTCAAAGTGAAATTTAATTGCCACTATCAACCTACACATGAAGCAAAAAAAAGTTTATTTCAATTTACAGTTTACTGAAGCGTTTCTATTGATTCTAGATTATTCTAGAGTAGATGACAACTAATTTTGGAGAGGCAAACCGATCTCGACCTTACGCTGTCGTCCCACTTATAACAGTATAAATGCGAAAGTTTTTTAGTATATTTGTTGCTCTGACAAAAACTATTGGACTAACTGTGTTGTAACACAATGCGCGATAGCTCATACATCAGATTAGCACGTAATCACTTTGAGATTGCGGCACGACATGAAAACCCTCTTATCGTGGCCGCCGGTAATTACATACCCGATCCTGTGGACCGAATGGTAAACAGTCGACGTCGCTCTAAGCACGTCATTACAGATCCTCCCGATCCATTAACGGTGCTTTTAGGTAACTCAAGCACTGGTAACCGCCCTTGCCGAACACGTCGCTTGCGACGAAGGGCTCGACGAATAAATTAACCCATAGACACAGCCCACTGAGTTTCCCGCCGGATCTTCTCAGTTTGTCGCGTTTCGATCCGGTTTTAGATTCTGCGAAGCGCTGCTCTTGCTAGGGCCAGTGTTAGCAACACTTCCGGCTTAAGCCCTGAGAGCTCACCTAGACACTAGGGTGAAGCTGAAATAGCCTCTCAAGGCTATCAACATAGGTAAGAAAAATATCACGTAAGATATAATATAGTACGGTCCGCGTGAAACAGATGGCGCGACTGTCGCATTTCTTCGCCTTTTTCGCCTACACATCAGAACTAAACGAGTAGCATATGAGTTAAGATCTAAACTCGTGACTAATAACCTACACTCGTTTAAACGGCGCGCGTGGGTAGCGAGGACTAAGAGTGCACACGTAACAATAAACCTGGAGCTCCGTCGTGAGAGATGAGATATTGTTAGCTACAAAAGAGAGATGCAGGAATCGCATCCATCACTTAAATTTTCGACTGTCATGTAGATTAATACCCTACGCGCCACCCTGAAGTAATAATGTCGATTTCTGTTACTAAGAAATGGGAATATCTAATGGACTTTGGGAAAGACAAAACCGAACGATATTTTTTTTTTATTGCCTAGATGGGTGGACGAGCTCACAGGCCACCTGGTGTGAAGTGGTTACTGGAGCCCATAGACATCTACCGCGTAAATGCGCCACACACCTTGATATATAACTTCTAAGGTCTCAAGTATAGTTACAACGGCTGCCCCATCCTTCAATGTTTCACGGCAGAAATAGGCAGGGTGGTGGTACCTACCCGTACGTCTCACAAGGGTTCCTACCACCAGTAATTACGCAAATTATAATTTTACGTGTTTGATTTTTATTACACGATGTTATTCCTTCACCGTGGAAGTCAATCGTGAGCATTTGTTGAGTACGTATTTCATTAGAAAAATTGGTTCCCGCCTGAGATTCGAACACCGGTG